AGAGTGCCTCCAGTCGCGACTAAGTCATCGATCACGACCGCACGCTCGCCGGGCTGGCCGCCATCCACGTGCATCTCTAAGCAGTCGTGTCCATACTCGAGATCGTAGGACTTGGAAATCACCTTCCCTGCATAAAATAATTTCACAATTTATTTTATATTTTTTCATTTTTCAGATGCCCAATATGTGGAAAGATCGACTGGTAAAAGGTCCAGTGGATGGATTTTACCAGGCAATTTTCCGGGTTTACGCAAGGGGACGAACTTAGCGCCCAGAGCCAAGGCGATGGGAGGACCGAACACGAACCCTCTTGCTTCAACTCCTTTGTATATTACAGACACCGTCATATACGTACGTGTGTTAATATGCTTGTGAGGAAAAAAAAAAGGGGGATTTTTTTAAAACAATTGACGGTTTTTAAAAGCACCCAATAAAAATGGTGAAAGAAAACTGGGGAAAAGGCGACGTCTTTATATGAAAATTTCATGGAACTTGGTCAGTGTAAAAACGAGGGACACAATGTGGGGAGAAGAAAGGAGAAGTGAAGTACCAGCAACAACATTGACATGCATGTCTTTGTAGCGATCGACAAAGATGTCGATTGTGTGCTTGAACGCTTTATGATCCAACAGCAACGTCGTTATGTCCTGAAACATGATTCCTGTCCAGATAGATATTTTTTTTAAAAAAAAAGCACTTTCAGATCGCATGCAGAAGCAGAGCAGAGAGAGTCATTAGTTGGGGAAGAAGAGCGAGGAGTTAAAAGACCTTTCTTGGGGAAGTCGGGCACCACTCTAATGGCCGCCGATATGGCCTCCAGCCTCGGATCTCCTCTCAGCCCGTTCTCTGCCGCAAACATCCTCTCTCTCTCTCTCTCTCTCTCTCTCTCTGAGTTTCTGAGAATCTAATAAGAATTCAATAAGAGTCTCTCTCTCTTCTGTATATGTCTCTCTGGCCTCTCTACTAATGACTCTCTCTCTCTCTCTGTCCCTCTCTTGTTTTGAAATTCCAAGAGAATCTGATATGGGTCTCTCTCGTGTATACAGTATACGTAAAAAAAGTCTCTCTCTCTCTCTCTCTCCTCGTGGTTTTGTGTTTCTGAGAGATTCTGCAAATAAAGTGATAAATCTCTCTCTCTCTCTCTCTCTCTCTCTCTCTGTATGGGTATATGAGAAATTCAAAGGAGGAGAAAAATAATTTTCCCTCCCAGGAGAAGGAACAGACGATCAGAAGAATCGGAACCAAGAATGATCTCTCTCTCTCCCCCCCTGTGCTCACCAAAACAGCTGTAGTAGAAGGTGGGTGAGCATTTACTCGGAAGAATACAAAAGCGCGTGATCCTCACGCGCCTCGGACGATGGCACATAGGATCGAGACACTCGCACTCGCCACGAGCATTAAAAGAGGGGAAGATCCGAAATCCAACGGAATTAGAAAGAAGATCTTAGATGGGTCTACCACAGAATCTCCGGCTTTTACTTCCATCTCTCTCTCTCTCGAACTAGTCGGGTTTCCATGTCTGAATCTCTCTGCCCTTGTAGCAGAAGACCGTATATAATATGGCTTCCATTCGAGCTTTTTAGACAAAATCATGGTGGGGGCTAAAAGGGTTTACATTGCTGTATATTATAAGAGCAGACGAACCTCGTACCGAGAAACCCACCACAAAAGCTTATCGAGAATATATCCCAAATCTCGTTTCCTAACTTTACAGCTTTCCTCTTAACAGGTTATTACATTTCTTGTTTTTTATTTTTTTTAAATTGGGATTGGATGGATACAACTTCATGATGAAATTGTTGATAAATTTTCATAAGTTAAGCTTCTTTTCTTAACACTTGTGGGTGGGCCCACCTGACCTATGATGATGGCTTAGAGATGAGGATTACGTAGATCTCTGTCATCTGAAAATCCTTTTGCCAAAGCCAACAACTGTCTTAAAAATGTGGAACAAAAAATTTTTTTTTTTGTTTGGTGAAATGCGAATGTATGCAGGGATGTAAAATGAGTTAACCCATACATTTTCGAACCGGATTCAAGTATTCTCAACCCATAAAAATATAGTTTAAAATTTTAATTTTTTATTATATTTTAGATATTTTAAAAATATTTTAAAATTAAAATTATTTTTAAATATTTTTTAGTATTAAAATTTTATTTTTAAAATTTATATATTTGGCTCGCGGGTCGGCTCGTTTGACTCACGAGTTAAGACTATTTGGGTTGGACTAACCTATTTTTGATTCGCTAAAAAACGGGTTAGACAGGGGTGGGATGAAAATTTTTCAGATCGAGATGATCCGGGCCGGACCACCCCGTTTTACACCCCTAAATCTATGGAACAAAAAAGTTGCCAGATGATAACAAAAAAAAAAAAAAGAGAGAGCCAAAATTGGAAAAAAAAAACACACACACACACACAAGAACAATGTATATTAATCACTAATGAATAAATACCCTTTGTGCATTTTTTGAGTGATCGTTCGAAATCATGATAATTAATAATGATTTAAGAAATTGTAGATCTTTTTATATATATAATTGGTCTAAGTGATAGACTACAGATCTATGTTTTAATTTTTTTATTATTTTTTAATATAACCCCAATAGCGAAAATTTAAAAATTGATATGAGTGACAACAAATTTGCCACCACTTGCGGTCTTCAGTGATGTGCGGCGAATAAAACAATTGGTGGATATGACATGATTCATATGACAATTTATGTTTAGGTTATTCCGGGTCCATCAAATCATGAAAATTAATAATGGTTTGTATATTGGGATTATGCCATCATTATTTCGGGTATATTCATAGTAGATTTGTCCCAACGATTATTAATTACGATTTTGAATTTTAATATTGGCTTTGTCAATCGTTCCGCATGTGTTATTTATCAACCCATGAGAGTGTTTAGCGCTCGATTCTATAAGTTTGAGAAGGGATATTCAAATGGATTAGTTTGGGTTTTAATCTATTGTATCTAATTAAAAAAAAAAAACTATGTTGTGTATGATTGTGTAGATGGAAAAGTGAGCCAAACTGTTATTGCCTTAACATTCACGGTATTTACAAAATATATTTTTCTTGTATATTTTTAATATTTGTTAGATTGTTAGAGTTGCAAGTGTGTTAGGGATGATAATCAGGCACAGAGCGGACCCATTTACATGTTACTGTGTGTGCCCCCAGCTACCTGATTAAAAAATTTTAATTTATTTATAAATTTTATACGATTTTAAAAGAAATTATCAAATACCCCTATAGTAAATATATCATAATAAAATTATTACCCCCAATTAAAAATTATCTTGGCCGTTTCTCATGCTTCCTCTTCGGAATCAAATCTCACTGTCCCTATCTACTATCCAGCGAAACCACAACAAAGGGAATAGGTTTGGCAGAATCAGTAAGAAAAAAGATCTTATTGAGCTTGGGCAGAAGTACAGCTCTAGAGAAAAATCGGCTGAGAATTTTTATCTGATTTTTTGTACACAACATTATGATGATATGATCTTATTTGTGGCAAAGTTTCATAATTTTATGAGCACCACAACTATTTTTCACGAATTTTTTACCTTCACCTCTAGTCGATGGAACAATGTAGGTAAGGTAAGTCGGAAAAATGATCCGTAACTTCGGAAAAAAGATTGGCTCTGAGAGATAGGCACGGAGCCATCGTTGATCAGACATACATAACTTAACTATATCGTAATCCAATAACGCAATCTAACTAAATAATTGAATTTAAATGAAAACACAATCACCCACCTTTCGTCGAGTGGTAGACGATTGAGCCGACTAGATCACAAAGTGATCGTTAGACGTTTAAAATAGTCGGTTCGACTCTACGGACGAGGAGGAGATGCATAATTTAATTGCGTTATAAATACGGTGAAGGTGATGTAGTTAGTACAAGATTGTGTGAACTTTTTTATTTATAAAAAAAATGAAAAAATAATTTTTTTTTAAAGTAAAAAAGTGGCCGTTTTGTTTTTGGAAGCAGGCGAAATTTAATTTAGAAAAGATCGAGAGAATAAAAACGTAACCGAAACCATCGTGTAACATATGTACGTTAAATGGGCCATAAAACGTTAGAAATCTGAAAAGCGACAATACAGATCATGTGAAGCCCACATCTTCTACGTTCCGATTCCAAGCCCACTTTATTCAACACCAATTGCCCTTTTTTTCTCAATGTTTCCTGGGACCATGATGCGTTATTATTATTTAAGAGGTTTTATTTATTAAAAAAATATATAGTTATGCTTTTCGGTTAATCCCAAAGTTTCATTAACTTATGATATGAATTAATAGGAATGGTGTCACATGGAACAATAAGCTTTTTAAGCAGTGTTTATAATGACGCTTAACACATTATATTCATGATCCCTTAAGCATTGTTTGTTTATTTTCATAGTTGATAACAGATTCCACAGTAAGCTATAAATACCAAAGTCTTTCTAGATGTTGGTCCATCACGGTGTTCCTCTCCGGCGATTGGTTGGTCCACCGGCTGGGAGAGGGCAAAACGGTCATTTCAACTAAAAATGCCTTTACCTCATCTGTTGCCTTTGTATTTCGCTCTACTCGTCTGTCTCCCTCTAGCCGTCATCTTCACCGTTACGTCTCCTCGAACGGCCGTTACAGTCGCCGTTACTCAGCCCGCGTTCTTGGTCGTGCGAAAACCCCACAATGCCCCTGAAACCCTCCCGATCATTACAATCCAACCACCAGCCTCACGGGACGACGAGTCGCTCCTCCGTCTCGCTTCTCAGGTCGGCCCGAATCCGCGACCCGAGTCGCCTAAGAAACTCGCTTTCTTGTTCTTGACCACGGATTCTCTCCCACTGGCACCACTCTGGGAAATCTTCTTTAACCAATCGCCTAAAAATAGAAATCTCTACAATATATATATAAACGCGGGTGACTCGGGGCGAAAACCCGACCCGAGATTCTCGGGTGTGTTTGAAAATCGGGTCATACCGTCTTCCAAACCCGCTTTCCGCCACACACCGACCCTCATCTCGGCGGCGCGTCGCCTACTCGCCCACGCGCTTCTGGACGATCCGTCAAATTACGTTTTCATCCTTCTCTCCCCGTCTTGTGTCCCGCTCCACTCCTTCAACTTCACGTACACTTTCCTCGTCTCCTCGGCCAAGAGCTACATCGAAATACTCGAGGACGAGCCTGGTTGGTACGACCGCTGGGCGGCGCGTGGGCAATACGCCATGCTCCCCGAGGTTCGGCCCGAGGACTTCAGGATCGGGTCGCAGTTCTGGGCCTTGACCCGGTCCCACGCGCTGATGGTGGCTCGTGACGTGGAGCTCTGGACCAAGTTCAACAAGCCGTGCGTGAGAAGGAACGTGTGTTACCCCGAGGAGCATTATTTTCCTACGTTGGTGAACATGCGGGACCCACATGGACAGGGGCGGGTGCCAGCCACGCTCACCCATGTGGACTGGAGCGTCGCCGCTGGTGGTCATCCTCGGACGTACCGGCCATCGGAGGTGGGATCCGGGCTGATACGGAGACTGAGGCGTGCTCGGCCAAGGTACGGCGAGTCACCGGCGGAGGCGAGGAACGATCCATTTCTGTTCGCGCGGAAATTCCCGCCGGCGGCGATCGGGCCGTTGGTGGACATGGCTTACAAAGTTATATTTAATGATTCGGCTGTATTATAGAATTGGGAAATTTTTCAAAATTTATGTCCTATCGAATTTTATTTTGAATATTTATTTTTATTTTTTTGATGTAATTTATTTTTATTTTCGTAATGTTTGATTATGTATTTAGGCAATCTGGAAAAATCTTGCAGATTCTGTCGCATCATTTCTAATTTGTGTGCCGCGACAACGATATTCTATTGTCAATTACATACTTAGAAGTTTATAAATAAATAAAAAATCCATTTTTACATACCAAATGACATTAAAAATTTTTAAGGAAAAGAATGACCCAAAATGCATGAAAAATGTTTTAATTTTAAAAAATATTGAAGCAAGATTATTCATTTTCAAATCAAAACAACAAACTAAGTAAAGAAAAAAAAATCCGACAAACTCCAGATTCTTTATGGACAATATTCTCTAATAATAATTGATAAATTTAGCTAAAAGAAAGAAATGAATAAATCTCCAAAAATTGCGGCTGACCCTAGCTAACTTCCTCAACAAGGAATCTCCGCGAGGAAAAAAAAGAAACCCTAGTAACCTCGGCAAAGACCAAATTCCATCCCCTGATTCGAAACCCTAAGTCAAAAAAGAGAGAAGAAAGCATCGAAATTCATCCTCTGATCCTTCAGACGCCAATTCAAACTGATAAACAAAGATCCAAGAACCCTAGAATCTCTCTCTCTCTCTCTACACTAATCAATCCAGGTCATGGGTTAGATCAAACGAGGAAACCCCAAACCCTAATCCTGATCCAACCCAGATGGTTAATCTCTCTAGAAGCTAATTATCCTCTTTGCCATTCTCTTGTCTCGAATCAAAGACATTCATGGAAAGCTTCCTTCGGCGGAGCTTTTCGTACGATAAACTCCCCACGTTTCCCATTAGGCTCTCCGTTCTCAAACTTGACGGTTCTTCATTCGGTATATACATATATATATATATATACACTTCTTTTGATCTGTGTGTGATCGGTCGTGTTTGGTTTCCGGGAAAGTTTTATAAATGATCATTTACGTGGATGTTTAGCATATATATATATATGGATTTCAAATTGTGTGTGTGTGTGTATATATATAGATGTTCAAATTAAGAGCACGGCCTCCATTGGGGATCTCAAGGTCGCCATAGAGGAAGCATTCGATCACGTCCCCAAGAAAGGACCCGCCGAGATTTCATGGTATGTCGCATTTCTATTTCTTTCTTTTTGCTCTTCCAAATTGGTATATATATAATAGTTAATCATTGGCGGTATTACTTACATATTTGACTATATATATATTGATTGGCTAAACGAATTTGGACACGCACGTGAAGGTCTCACGTGTGGGGACATTTCTGCTTGTCTTTCAAGGGTCGGAAGTTAGTCACTGACACGGACTGCGTCAGCAGCTATGGCGTCGAGGATGGTGATCAGGTGTGTATATATATATGTATATATACAGAAATACATATACATATACATATATATATTTATGACCCATATATAGTATTGGAAGCTCATATATGCACTTTGACGTGGAATCGTGTTCAGATAAAGTTCATCCGGCATGTTTCAGGCGATGCCGCCATAGCGAAAGGATATTCGAAGAGACTGAAACAACAAAAACCGTAAGGACATTACTATATGTACATTAATCGGGGTTTCAGTCTCCGTATGCGCGGTATATATATTTGGACATCTAGGGCTTGGATATCATATAACATTGCAAAATTCAATTCATTCAAACAAAAGGGCTCTTGATTTTGCGTCTATTTTTTTTAAAATAAAGAATAGATTGCCTAATCACCTAATAACACATATGTGTACATATATATATATATATAGGTCGGAACTGCTACTAGGACTAAAGAACCAAGGGGACAAGGATCGAGAATGGAAACTTCTAGAAGGGTCTAGAAGCTTCTGAGAGAAAGGCCCACAAAGGATATTAGGGTTTTAGTGCTGAGAAAGGATATTGCTTCCAAGTTTTGTCCTTTGATTTTGTTCTTACGACCAATTTTACACTCAATAACATTTCAGTAACACAAACTGTTACTTGTCCCATATGCAATTATTGCAATAACAAAAGAAAAGGGGTCTGGTTTTTACTAATAAATTAGTATTTTACATGAATACAACACCAAAATATATAGAAAGCATGCGATTTATTTTCACAACAATGGACGACTTCGAGCTGTATAGAAATTTCAGACAAACACTTGTAAGTTGGCATTCGCTTTAAATATAACATATGTGTGTATATATAGCCTTCTTTCAACATGCCAATGCTAAAAAAAGCCACCTCCTAGGGTTTGTTTTCTCCTTTAATCACACAGAGAGAAGTCAGAGAAGGAGATTACGTTGTAGAGAGCAGAGGAGCAATTCAGTCAATCATAGAGGCCCTCCAGCTCCCACACATCAACCAGAAAATCCACCATTTCCTGCCAAATTTATCATCCAACAGAACCCAGAAATCATATCACATCTCTGTAGAATCAGCAAATTTGCAGAGAACTATTCTCCAGATGAAGGAAGTAGTCTGCTTACAGGGAGTGGTATCGGACGGGAAAACCTCTTGTCCATACCCAACAAGCTCTCGTAGGTCGCGTTCCAGCTGCAGAGAAACCAGAGAGTTGCTTATAATTAGGTTATTTTGCTCACGTTTATAATCGCTTCTGTGTATCTATGACCTATCAACTCGTCCTTCCTTATTTACCAATCTTCTTGATAAGAGATGCGGCATTTAGAACATGGGTATAGGGTCTCACCCTTCAATCCAATCCATACCATATTGCGGCTAAACTTTCAAATATAATATATGTGTATATATAGTACGGCACTCCCCGTCCACACCTAAAAGCTCAAGGGCTTGAGAAAGAAAGATTGCAAGATGCCATTCTCGAATCATACTTTCACATGCCAAAGTCTTGTCTCTTACATGAAGAGTATGGTAAAAGAATGGCATCTCGCAATTGATGTCCTGACTTTAACAACCCCCAGAATTCACGGTATAGAAGGTCATATCCCCACCATCTTTTAGGTTAAAAGTTCAGCTATGATGGTTTAAAGGATGATAACAAGAAAAATGAAATAAAGGATAGAGAACTGGAAAGGCCTGAAATTCTGGGGGGTAGAATCATAGATAATCAGCAGTCTTGTTCATGCATGTATCTTGCTCGAGGACAAAATCAAAAGGAGAATAAAGATGGCACGATGTGGTTCGAATACATAGCTTTTGAGGATAGCAACTGATTTTGCAAAGCCAAAAGAATCTTATCAAACCCAGTAGAATCATATGAGAAATGTCAAGAAGAGTCAGGAGTTGGATATTGTTTATGAGAAAGCCTACAAGAAAGACACTCGACGGCCCCAATGGTACCGTGCTTATAGATTTATCTGTCTAAAATAACAAGATGGTAACTATCGATTTCTTTTCTAGTGGGATATCAGTAGAGTATTAGTACGTAAGAATGTCAATTCATAAACGGGTTAGTAGATAGAAGCTTTAACCTTATTGTAGGTTCTCGATGTTTGGACTTTGTTTGAGGAGTTCCATTTGCTAGCCATTGCTGCCTCGTCTGATTCCACAGGATTGACCCTGGAGAAAACAGACAGACAAGATGAACTTTCTTCAGGTAAAATAATAATTGAAAACACTAACTAAGAATAAAGATTAACAGAACCGAAAGTCCATTCGGTAATAAAATCAAAACAAGAGTAGGAAATCAAAGAATTCTAATATCTTAAAAGCAGTGACCAAACTAATGCATAGGATGAAAGTCTGATCTGCCCTAGTTTGGATCGAAGAGATGCATCATAACAAACAGGCTCACCAGGGACAAACATTTTCGAGTTGAACCAAACTAAACCAAACAAAAATCTTGAAAGTAAGGTCCAGTGAGTTTTGGTCTTTCACCGATCAAGAGAAAAGAGCTAAACAATTCAAAACCAACCCAGATAAAAGGGAGAAGAAGACAATCTACATCATATACAAGCGGTCAACATCTTTCACTAACCGTGATTTACAAATTCTGTGGGATTGCTAGAACTGCCGGAACTGGTATTGTTGAGTGTTAAGCTGATTGAAGAAAGGCTCCTATGTGACTGAAATGCAATGTTATCCATCTCACATGTGCTTGAGCTCCAGAAGCTGTCTGATACAAACTGGCCGTGAATCCTTAACAGTGACGATTCATTGCAGCACCCAAAACAACATCTGCTCTGTTGCAAACCCAGAAAATGGGATAAAATTGCGATTATGACCACAGAATTGGCAAGAAAAAGCCTTGGAAGCAAAAGAACTGCAAGATTGTTAAAGAAACTGTAACAGACTGTTTCAAGAATTAGCCCAGCAGTTATACAATTTGACCCAACAGAAACCAAAATATAACTCTCATGCCCTGAAGGGCTGAGTAACCGAGAAATGTTTCACCGTTAAAGACTTGTTTCTCAAAAGTTAACAGATTCTAAAAAAAAAGGTGCCTCTCGTGGGGGATCTTGTCTGGGAGAACTGAAGCTGAGAACAACAGTTTGGACAACTCAAGAAATTCAAGAAACAGAGATACATGTGGTAACCAAGAGAAATTAAAGAGACAAACTGAGTGAAAGAACTCAATGGTAAGATCATATATTAAGGGCAAAGCTGACAACGGAGAGGCGGGTAAGATCATATATTAAGGGACAAACCTGAAAACAAATACTTCTAACAAAAGCACCAAAAAAGAATGACAATTTTGATCTTCCTTTTTCCTGGTTGTCACCAGCCAAACAGTCCCAGATGGAGAATTCCAATTCGATAAACATTAAAAACTGAGGGGGGAATAGTTACTAACTCACCCCATGCAGCCAAACAAGCGGTTGATCAAAGAGGGGATATATTCGCGGATTTGCATCTAAAGCAGCGGACTTAGCGACCTTCTAATCAACACCCTCTTTCCAGGAAGAAGAAGCCCCACAATCCTGCATCCAAAAATCAAACCCTTTTTTTTGGTTACCGATCACCAATACGAACAGAACCGAACCCCCATGTTTGTTTCCCGAGAAGACACGGAGGAAAACAACCTCAGAAATGGCATGTTCGGCCCAGATTGGGATTAGGGTTTTCTTCCTCCTCCTGCCCGCCGGGAACTCCGAACGCCTCTTGTTGATCCAAAACTAAAACTAAAGGGCCCCCTTTTGTTATCGGTTTTATTTTCTTTCGTCGAGATTTCCTGTTTTAACTTTTAGGCATGTAAGATAATTGTGCCACTCAGATATTTAATTTCACTTTATATTCTTCGGGAAACTAAATCTATCCATATTCTAAATTCTAATTTTCTTATTTCTATATTTTTTATATTAAAAAATGATATCCGTTTATATTGATAATTGTAATCTCAATTTACCTTTGGACAGTTAAATTAATTAAAATGGTTCATGATTTAATTAATTTTAGGAATAAATATATAGGAACACTGTAAAAATGTCAATTTGATGTATTTTCATATATTTTTTTATCCTTTTTTTTAACTTTTATTTTAATATCTAATTTTGATATTTTCACATTTCAATAACCACATTTTTATTTATTTTGTATTTTTCTAACTGAATGTTATAAAATTATCAGAATTTTCTGATCAAATTGATTTTACATTAAAAAAAAATCAAACTATGTAGTTTGATAAGTTTTTAAAATAAGAATATTAAAATTAGACAGATTAAAATTTTGTAATTCTCTACTGTTTTTGCTGGGCCAGAAAAATAATATGTAGTTTTAGGATTTAAAAAATACTATACTTTACAAATGAGCTTATTCACGTGTATCCCAGGCCCATTATATGGGTGGGCCTCTTCCCATCCCTTAAAAATATTCGAGCTTTAAAAGGCCATTCAGCTTCTTCTCTCTGTTTCCCTGGTGCTGCCGACTTGAAGATTTCAAAACCCTAGCCGTAATCCCCGGGATCCAACGTCGTTCGACTCGCAGGTAACATTTCTGATCTAGTTCTAACATTTTATCATTAATTCTTAGCGAATCTACTGTTTTGATGAGCACTTAGTTGAATTTCCTATGTTGGAAACCCCAAATTCAATATTGATTAAAGTGATTCTGGTTTTCAATGGTTATGCGCAGTTATCCGAACTTTGTAGGGATTTTTTTAGGGATTTTTAGAATTTGTTATATGATCTGATATTCTCTGTGGTTTTCCAAATTTGTGAAGTATGGCGGATACTAGAGACAATGAAGCCTACGAGGAGGAGCTTCTGGACTATGAGGAAGAAGACGACAAGGTCCCCGATTCTGCCGGAAACAAAGTTAATGGCGAGAACGGAAAAAAGTGAGTGGTTTTCTGTTTCTTCTCTACGAAGGAATACAGTTTTTAATTTTGAGTATTTTGCTAGGTTTCACGTAGAAACATTAAAGATGTAATAATCATTTCTTTCCTGTTAATTGAAGCGGTTAATAGTTTTGTTTAGTTACTTTATATGGTAGCATTATCTAGGCAGTAGTTTGGTTTTTGTCGGGGAATATGAAGAGGATGAGACCGGAAGTTATGCCTGTGTAGAATTGTCATTGTAACTTTTAAGCATGTTTTGATTTTGTTTTTCTTCTCTTCGGCAGAGGTTACGTGGGAATACACAGTTCTGGATTCAGAGACTTCCTTTTGAAACCGGAGCTTCTCCGAGCTATTGTTGACTCAGGATTTGAACATCCTTCTGAAGGCAAGAACGTTTCATTCTTCACCATGTTTTGTGTGTTTTCTCCCAAACCATTTTTCATAAATATGTCTGTCTCGCAGTGGTATATAAACTAGTTCTTTGTCATCTGATTGAGAGATTGTTCTAGATAGTTTACTACCAAGAAGGAAGATGATTGAGAAATCATATGCTTTATATGCTTCATTTGCTGTTGATATATAATTATTTTAACTACTGTCTAAACAATAGGTTTAAAGGAACTTTGTTCTGTTTTGCGGCTTGAGTTTCTGTTTTCACTTTTATTGTACTCTTTATTTATCGATTTTCTGCTGATTTTCTTTTTCCAGGTAATTAGCTATTTCAAACTATTGACTTGGAGCCAACTTACCGTTTCGGTAAACCCATCCGTTTAGAGCACTGGAAGGTTATATTTTACTCATAAAGGGTTTCTTCGGTGCCATTTTCTTTAATTCTCCCCAGTGCAACATGAATGCATTCCCCAAGCTATCCTAGGCATGGATGTTATTTGCCAAGCAAAATCTGGTATGGGAAAGACTGCCGTGTTTGTGCTGTCTACTCTGCAGCAGATTGAACCTACTCCTGGTCAGGTTGCTGCACTTGTTCTCTGTCATACAAGGGAGTTAGCTTACCAGGTATGGTTGATATCCTTAACCTGAAATTTCAACTATTGCTGAGTTACCTTTCATCCGGTTATCTCATGTGTTCCTCCTTTCGTTGAATTTTTAATGCAGATCTGCCATGAGTTTGAGCGTTTCAGTACTTATTTGCCCGACATCAAGGTTGCGGTGTTCTATGGTGGAGTCAACGTTAAAATTCACAAGGACTTGCTGAAGAATGAATGTCCTCACATTGTTGTTGGGACACCTGGTCGAGTGCTTGCTCTTGCCAGGGACAAGGATCTTTCCTTGAAGAATGTGAGGCATTTTATCCTTGATGAATGCGACAAAATGCTCGAATCACTTGGTATGGCGATGTCTGACATTCTTATGAAGAATATATTGTCCCCTCTCTTAATCATTCTAAGTCTGTACCCTTTATATTTTCTCTATTAGACATGCGGAGAGATGTGCAAGAGATTTTCAAGATGACGCCACATGATAAGCAAGTAATGATGTTCTCGGCAACACTCAGCAAAGAGATACGCCCGGTCTGCAAGAAATTTATGCAAGATGTAATGTCCCATGGCCAATATTATCTTGGTTTTGAACGCTTCTAGTTTTGAGTTAAAGCCAGCTTTGTTGAGGGTTTTTAGGTTTAGTTGGGCATAGCTGCTCTTGATCGATGGATGAAGGTTCGCTGTTTAGTACTGCTCTGGTTATTTTGGTGCTTCGGGATGTGGGGAACAGCCGGACACCAAGGCTCTCTCTTAGCTTTGGTGTAGTTCAGTGGTGTCTTTTGCATAGTGGGACATTTTCTCTTCAGTTCCGTTTTCTCTTTCTCTTCCAAAAGCGACACTATTGGGTGGGTTCTGAGTCGGAGTTTGCAAGGGTAACACGTTATCATCATGCTGTAAGCTGTCGTTTTGGGCTAAATATTTGTGAGCGATAGTGCTACCTCATTGCTGTGACTGCATAAACACACTTGTGAGGAGGCAAAGTTGATAAGCGAGGATCTCAGCTCGAGGGCTCGCCGTCCAATCCATCATCGTTTTTATACTGGGTATCATTTATTTGAGGAAGGCTTGCTAATATGCTTTAATATGACATCTGTTCCTTTCAGCCAATGGAAATATATGTTGATGATGAAGCCAAGTTGACTCTACATGGGCTTGTACAGGTATTTCAATTGAATTCATTTGCCTCTACACTTATCAATGTTCATGTTCAACTTTTTTTTTAATATTCCATTCGATTATCATGACAGCACTACATCAAACTGAGCGAGATGGAGAAAAACCGCAAGTTGAATGACCTTCTTGATGCTTTGGACTTCAATCAAGTTGTCATCTTTGTGAAAAGTGTCAGTAGAGCAGGGGAGCTAAACAAGTTACTGGTTGAATGCAATTTCCCTTCTATATGCATTCACTCTGGCATGTCTCAGGAAGAGAGGTTTGTATTACTATTCTCTAACATTGTCATTTAAGTGTACTTAATAACACCGCTTGCTCTTTTCTCTCACTCTCTGTTGAAACGAACTTTTTTATTTTATATGATGAGTAGGTTAACTCGTTACAAGGGCTTCAAAGAAGGGCACAAGAGAATTCTTGTGGCAACAGACTTGGTGGGGAGAGGAATCGACATTGAGCGTGTGAACATCGTCGTCAATTATGACATGCCAGATTCTGCAGATACTTATCTCCATAGGGTAAAATATACTCTCCTTTGTCATCCCGAATTATGAGTAGCTTGCTTCTTGTAATATATATATCTTTTGTAATATGAATGGTTAGGTTGGCAGAGCTGGTAGGTTCGGCACGAAGGGTCTTGCCATCACATTTGTCTCTTCTGCTGCAGATTCTGACGTTCTTAACCAGGTTTGGAGTTATTAGTTAGACCATAAATCCCATTCTTATCCCACTTATTTATTTTCCAGTCTGAACATTCATGTACCCCATATCCGTTGCCTTCTTTACGACCTGGTTTCCCAAGAGAGAGAGAATGATGTTAGGTTTGTCTGCCGAGAATTTCAGGTGCAAGAGCGGT